TCCACTCAGCTCTGTTGATGAAACCAGGTAACCCTGGAATCTAATCTCTTATTTATAAGTTCCCATTATTTTTAATTTTAAAAAATAACACTGTACAATGTTAAATTAAGAACTGAAGCAGAAACTAACATCTTGCAGCTTTGGTGGAATGACAGAAAAAATGGTATAATAGAAGTTGGATAAGTGCTCTTATTCTAACCATACAAGTATCCGCATTTTGGGATATAAGAAATAAATGAATAAACTGATTGTTGAAATATATTCTCAAATACCATTAATACCTTCATTTAGATACAATTTCTACTCAAGAATTTTCTTACATCATTTGTTTTGTTTCACATGCATTACATTACAAATGAAACCAACATCAATGTACACAAAAAGCCCTTGAAAAACTAGCAAACAATCCTCTTTAGAACATGGCAAAATATAAGGGCTACATTCACTTACAACTTTCAATATTACTGTTGATCCAAATGCCAATGATCTAAATAGCACAACTTTTATAGCAAACTCTTTCGGTTTGTGACTGATTAATCTGCCTGTCGCTGGCAGGACAGCTGATTTATACTGCAGATCTTCCTATGTTTCATTTTGAAATTGAGAACTGTTTTCACATATAAATCTCAATCATCAAAAGAACATCTAGGTCAGATTAACTAAATCTCCTAGGCTGCTGTAACAGTCAACATTTCTGGCTTATCTCTTAACATCTAACTGAATTTTAAACACTGCAAGTTGAAAGCAGAAATAGAAAATGTAATAAAAACACAGAGAAGAACAGAATTCTAATTAGGATGTTAAGTATAACATCAAAAACCAGTTAATGTTAATTAAAACAAGGAACTCACCTCTAGTTCTTTCTGTTTTTGCTACATACAATCTATTTAATGGATAGTGAGGATAATGAAGATAAAACAATTATTTTAGTAGAAAAACTGGCATGTTTGTTTCCACCTGGGTTACTATGCTTCAAAAACCACAACTTTCTGCAGTTGCAATTCAGGACTAGGTTCACTTGTACAGGGAGAAAAAAGTGGTCCCAAATCAAAAATCATGTTACTACATTACTCTGATGTAAATTTGCTAGTATTACAATAAGCTTCTACGTATACCAGTGAAAACAGAATATCAAATAATTATCACCTTTTAAGTGAAAAGAAATAAACTACTTTCTACTGTATTTCAAACTCTATCTCAAGGAAGATTACCTTAAATTTGACTCGAATAGAAAATTTCAACTGTTTTGATTTTTCTTGCCACTATTGCTCGAAATGTAAAATGGGGAAAACAACAAAACCCTACCCTAGCCTCATGTCATCTAGTTAGAATAGTAGAAGGAAAAATCATGTGCACAAGGGCTTCAAAGAGGGGACAAACAAAACCACAAAGCTGCCCAGCACAGTAGTGCACACCCGTACTCCCAGCTGCTCAGGAAGCTGAGGCAGGAGGATCTCTACCTTAAGGCCGTGAGTTCGAGGCTGTGGTGTACTCAGATTGCACCTGTGAATAGCCACGGCCCTCTAGCCTAGGAAACAAGAGTGAGACCTTGTCTCTTAAAAAAACAAAACAAAACAAAACCAAAGCCCCAACCCAAGAACAGCTGACCCTCAAACTACACAGGGGTTGGGGGGACTGCCCCTCGCCCCCTGCAGTTGAAAATTCATGCATAACTTTTGACTCCCTAAAGACTTAACTACTAATAGCCTACTGTTGACTAGAAGCCTTAATGATAACATAAACAGTCAATTAATACATGTATATTTTAGGTATTATATACTGTATTCTTATAATAAAGTTAGAGAAAATATTAATATCATAAGAAAGAGAGAAGACTTTCACAGTACTGTTTTTATCGATACCTTAAGTTTACATCATCTGTTCACAAGATGAATTTCTATCCATCTGAAATGGTAGGCAACTGCAGCTGCAGACCTCAATCTACAGTACACACAAGCAATTCAGCTTTTTCTTACAATGTCATCACTTTTCTCTGCTTCTTGGGAATACTTCCAGCATCACCTAGTTGCACTGCATATGGGTTCCATGGTGTTACCCAAGGTTTATGGATGACAAATAAGCAAGAGTTGACCTTTTACTGTGAAATGCAATTTAGTGGAGAGACGAACTGCTCACAGGAGATGATTAGCGTCACAGGGTGTTTTAAGCAGATACTGGGAATGCTTAAACTTACCACAACAGCAGTAGGAGTGGCTACGAAATTATTACAGTAGTACAGTATTACCACAGTGAATTTTATACAGTAATAATACTGCATCTTTATGTTTGCTTACATTTCTTTCATATACAGTTTCTGTGTGCATAAGTTTTGATAAATTTTAACTTTTTATAATAGATTTGTGTATATTTTATGGTAATAAATGACAAAATAGACTAGTATCTACATATATTTTATCCATTCATGACATACCTTTTTCTTAATTTTTTCAATTATTTCTAGGCTACATAGGTCATCCGTGCATTTTTTCAAATCTCCAAAACCTTTCCCAATGTATTTCCTGGAAAAAATCTGTGTGTAAGTGGACCTACGCAATTCAAACCTATGTTGTTCAAGGGTCAATTCAGTTTATCCCCATAACTAGGATAGAGCAACGGAAGAAAAAGGGTATTATGGTACATATTAAACATTTTAGCATTTGTCCTTTTCTCAAAAATCTTCAGAGACAGACTTAAAAACCATGTCTAATAAGGAGGAAAATAGGCCAGGGAAATCAAATTAACATTCCAACTATCATAAACTACACATGAGCCATTTGACCAGGTGTTACAGGAGATATTAAATGAACTAACTCATGGGGGGCGGAGGTATAAATTAGCATGAAAACTGACATATTTTGAAGTTGTGGAGGTTAAGGAAAAAAAATCTAGCTCTAAAATCAACTCTGTATATATAGGATCCATCCTGGCTTATTAAGGAAGGCAAATTGAAATAAAAACCCTGAATTTGATCTAGTGAATAACAAAAGGAAGAATAACGAAGATTGGGAGACCATTGGAATCCAAACTTTTAGTCTTAAACCAGAAGCCATCAAGAGAGTTTGTCCCCCTTTGAGAAGACATCAAATTTATTCTGGCTGCAGTATGATGTAAGGGAAAACAGCAGATAAGAAGAGAGGCAAAAGTCAAGAAAGAGTAATTTCAGAGAAAGGGTAAATTGTTTTGATAGTTCAGATATTGAGGTGTCAGGAGATCGTGGAGGTAGGGATGGTACAGAGGAACCAGCAGAAAATGGGAAATCAGGGCCTGATTTCAGATTCCATGGCTATTATAGGTTGAGTATCCCTTATTCAAAATACTTGAGACCAGAAGTGTTCTGGATATCAGATTTTTTTTTTAATTTTGCAATATTAACATTGTATATACCGGTTTACCATTCCAAATTCGAAAATCCAAAATCCAAAGTGCTCCAATGAGCATTTCCTTTGGGTGTTATGTTGGTACCCAAAAAGTTTTACATTCTGGAGAATTTCAGATTTCAAATTTTCAGATTAGTGATACTCAACCTGTACTAACTAATAAACAAGCTTTGCATCCCATACTCTGAACTTAAGTTTCTTTACCCGAATTACATCTCAAAGTTGTTTTGTGAGGCTCAT